ATCCACCAGCACACCAGTCACACCTACTAAGGCAGAGGTGCCCTTACTCTTCAGTCTCCTCAGCCCCGATCTCTGTGACACAAGCTAGGCAATGAGGAAAAAGGAATTTTCATTTAACTGAGAAATGTAATTTTTATGCGTGCTGTTATAAAGCCCAACCAGAAATGGTATTTTTATACTGCAGCAGTTAAGAAATGTAACACAAAAAAACCATTAGCAAAATATATTCAATCAGGTTGAGAATACTATTCTAAATAAGACACATAAAAAAAAATCTACCAATTAGCATTAGCTGTAAACAGCAAATATGCAAGGAAATAATTTGAATCTACTCTTTGGGAACTTGCATCTTACTATGATAATAGCACTATTTCCCAGGAGACTCATTCCAAACGCTTCAGGGTCTTGGGTTATCTTGCAAATGAAATGAACCCTAACCCAAGGGCCTTACGGTTAAACCTTGCTATAAGGGGGCTGCACAGGGCTCCCAGTGGTCACGGGGGACAGAGAGCTGCAAATCCCGAACAGACCGACTTGGGCATCCAAGCCTCCATCTTCAGGTGAGAGGGACCAACATCGCGAACCCTCACCCAGTAACTCCTCTCCCGATGGGTCTGTTATCGTATAAATTCCATCGTATCCCCCAAATTCTTAGAAGTCATTTTGTCTTTCTAAATCAGTGCCCAGGGTGGAAAATTACTGTTTCAACGGGGCTGGGCAAAATCGTTCCACAGACTCAGGTCCCATGCGGCCAGCGCTGTCCCAGGGTAGTGTCAGTGCCGCCTCCCGGTTCTTGGGACACCCACACCCACCCCGATTGTTTATCAAAGGAACTACAGGTTTTTACATTAAATGTTCACTTTAAGAAATGAGTGTTCTAGAAGAGAAACAGGTGACTTATTCTGTATTAAAGCAAAGCTCAGGATGCTGAGCCTCTCGAAAGGTCCTCCTATAGACCCTCTGCAGGGACTGGAAACTTGAAGCCGCACCTCCAGGGAAGGCTCCCACCAGGTGTCATGCAGGAAACACGAGCCTGCAGTTACTCTGTTTTAAGAGGTTCCTAAACTTTTTATATGCTAACCCCAAATTTTTAATTATTTTAATTAATTTTTAACTATAATTAAATTAATAATTTTAAATTACTGCTTTTTTTAATCTAGGCAAAAAGTGCATCCATGGACCAAACGTGGCCCTTCCAAGTGTGCCAGTTTGCTCCCTTGCCAAGCTTAACAAAACCCAGGCACTACAGGTATCAGGGAATCAGCTGTTTATTTAATACAAACGTCCTCAAACATCTGTATCACGCTCTTTTATAAAATATGCTTTCCCGGTTTAATTTAAATCTGCTGTGCTACATTTTAGGTCCTCTCCCTACAGACTCTGCTGTATGAATATTTTCAGGCACCGGACATTCTGATGGCCAAATAAAGATGAATCCTGTACTATAAGCACGATAGTGCTATCATGGATTACAATAAATACAATTCCACTCACTTCTTTGTTAACAAAGCCGGTTAATACTCACAGCTCATGTTGAGTTTTCCACTAATTAGGGTTGTTATAATTTATTAAGGATATGATGTGGGCAACGGATGAACAGGTTTATAACTGAACTGTTCCTTCTAGAAATCTGGGACTCGAGTTTGCCTGAGATTTAAGTTCTGGGTCTCACACTGATCATTCCTACAACCTTATATGAAACACATGGCCTTGCTCAAACTCAGCTCCATATCACTTCTGAGTGAGGACAACCGCCATGTAAAAACAGGTCTATACTGGGCCAGGGATTTAGTTCAGTGGTTCCACCGCCTGCCTTGTAAGCTCAAGGACCCAAGTTTGATCCCTGGTACCAATTAAAAAAAAAAAAAAAAAAAGGTTCTGTTCTAGTGTTTTCTTATACTTTGATATTTATCTCACCAAATATGCTACGCATGTATTATATTAACTTTGTTACTTTATACGTAACTTAATAAGAAAAACATAAAATTTGGCTTCAATGACATTATTGCAAAATCATGCAAATTATCTTTTAAAAATTATTCCTCTGGGGCCCGGGATTTGGCTCAGAGGTTCTACCACCTGCCTCACAAGTGCAAGGGCCCAAGTGCAATCCCCAATACCAAAATAAATAAATAAAAATATTCCTCTGGGGCTGGGAATGTTATTCAGTGTGTGTTTAGGGTTCAATCCCTAACACCAAAAAGAAAGAAAAATCCTGAAAGCTACGCATTTAAACTTTACTTGCTAATCAGACACGCACATCACCATACTTCAGAAGCAGCTCAACTAAAACACACTGTGTGCCAGGTGCCTCTCTGATGAGTATGAAGCTCTTCATACTCACACTGGAAAATTCTACCAAGTTGGATAAAAAATTCATTTTTCCATTCTTTTTTCTCCAGCTTTATTAACTACATTTTCCAAGAAAATTTAATGACTGTTTTTCAGTGGTGAATTTCCGGCACATCCACAATGTTGATAACAAAATGTGCACAGATACAGAGATTGCCATTATAACATAAAGCCATGAAAGATCAAACTAGTACAAGTTCGTTTCAGGAAATCATTTGTATAATTGTTTAAACAAGCAAGAAGTATTTAAATGATCTAGTTAAAAATTATCACCAATGACGTTTTAAAGATACTTTATGAGTGTAACTTATGATTGTAATGCTAATATCAGAAATTTTTAAAACAGATTATATTTCAAGGCAGATGTGGTGTCACAGACCTGTAATTCTAGCACTCTGGAAGGCTGAAGGAGGAGGACCAGGAGTTCGAGCCCAGCCTAGACAACTTAGCAGGGCTCTGCCTCAACATTTAAAAATCAAAAATGGGCTGGAGATGTAGCTCAGTGCAGTCTTGGGTTCAATCCCCTGTACCACAATAAATAAATAAATAATATTTCAGAGTAAGGATTATATGACAATCTACATAGTACAAGAGACTATGCAATAAAATGAACAAGTATTTTAGATCTCCCTGAACTTTTATGGCAAAAGAATAAGCTTGTGACTGGTAATAAAGTTACCAGACATGCATTCATTAATTATAGAGGTATACATATAATCCCTGGTAATTTCTTTATTTAGGAATATCACTTTTCAGAAAAAAATTTTTCTTGACGTTATCAAACACAACTAGAGTGCACTAAGGTCCCTGACTAATTCTTACTGTAAAATAAAGAAAAATGTGCAATATATTTATTGTGTTCCTTTTACATTAAATCAAAAAATATCACCTAGCAAAGGGGCTTTTAAAATCATTACAGTTGGTACATACATTTTAGAAACTACAGTTCACAATGAAATGTAACTGTCGCCCCCTAACCCTACAGCCTAGCCCCGGTACACGTGGAGTCATCTGGACAGCTGTTTTGAAAACACCAAGGTCCAGCCCTACCACCCCTCCTCTGGCAAGACCCCCAACAAATTCTGCTTCATTTGTGACATGCAGCACTCAAATGTTTGTAGTTCTTAAGTGTTCCCCTAGCTGACTCTAGGGTCTGAAGGCTGAAAACCACAGCTGCTTGTTTCTCAGGGCACCGAGGAATGTAGACACTGACATAACACACAGACACACATGAGGAAAGCCAGCCGCCTCTCTCCCCCATGGGGCCCAAGTAACTACTGCCACTCTTAAGAGAAAAAGAGGCCATATATTTCTTTTAGAGGAAATATACAGTTTCAGGCAGAAATATACAATAGGCTTGGGAAAGCAGAGCTCACAGTCTAAGGGACAAATCCTGGCTGGGGCTAGACTGCATTTCCCCACTCCATTTTATTGTGCTGCTTCAAACAGTATCATTCATGGACTCGACTGTGTTAAAAACCATCTTCTTGAAAAAAAATGCTCATGGCCAGAAGTCCCAGGTTCCCCATAAGCCTTTTCAATAAGACTAATCAGGTGTATTTAAAGAACCAAGGCTTTGACAGTGGAAGTAAAACATACCTGAGTGATTCAAGAACACTAAGTGTTCAAGAAGAATTACATTGGTGAAAAGAAAAACAGAAGCATGAACACAGACAATTACAACGCCAAGAGATTCTGAGATTTCAAGATTCTATGGAGATGGCAAAGACATCCTCCTCTTTTCCTTATCTGCCTAAGAGTTCCTCGTCTTAGAGTACAGCTCTCAGGACAGTACTAATACATTATGAATCTAACTACCTTTACTTCTAAGACTACAAACAAGCTACAATTTATTATCAGCCTGGGTCATTTTAGGCAAGCCACAACTAAATCCCTTTAGTAAACAACTATTAATGCTGAGTGTCAATCAGCAAGCATTTACTTCATCAACCTAATAAACTGAAGAGAGCACTACAGAAGTCCTTAGACATCTCAGAGGAACTACAATAACCCAACTTTGACTTGAAAAACATTTTAAAATTCATACTGATAAAGCAGTACATACAGGCAAATGCATAGCTTTAAATGCTTTTACTGAAAAAGAAAAATGCTACAAATTAAAGAGCTAAACCCTCATTGAAAAAGCCTTAAAGGTTTCCCAAGGATAAAAACGAGCAGAAATTATGAAAGCAAAAAATAAACATGTTGGTACAGTGGTGCATGGCTATAATAACAGGACTCAGAAGGCTGAGGCAGGAGGGTCACAAGTTGAGGCCAGCTAGACCTACATGGTTCACCGGCAGCTTGACTTACACAGTGTGACCTGTGTCAAAAAATCAAATCAAATCAAAGAAGGTAAGAAAAGGGGAGGGAAAAAGCAAAAAGCTGTTTCTTTGAAAAGTCTAATAAAATTAATACACCTCTAGTATGCGTGACAGATCAAGAGCAAAAGAATAAAAGTACAAATAAAAAATTAAAAGGGACAAAACCACAGATACTACAAATATTAAAACATGAGACACTAATACACTTATGCAAGTGAGCTTGAAAATGTGGATAAAAAGGACAAACTCTTGCAACGTAGTCCTAGAAAAATCTAGTTCAGTAACTTTATGGATTTCTAAAATAAATGCATGTAAAATACAAACCAGAAATGGAACCCCAAGTTTAATACGTTGTCGCGAGCCGCGACGTCAGGATCCTGCCAGCAGGTCCTAAACCTGAAAGGACGAGGACAGAGACGGGAGGCACCTTTCTTCTCATGTTCCTTCCTTCCTTGCTTGCTTGCTTGCTTGCTTTACTACAGAACCTCTTCCTTTTATACGCTCCAGCTGCACAGGAGCGAGAGTACCGCCCACACATTCCGGAGGGAAACAGTAACAACCATTATGGGTTACATCTGCTACCAGCTGAACTCGCCCGTGGATATGGGCGAGAGCACGTCCGTGCCAGCGAGGTGACTCAAAGTTCAATCATGGCTAGGCCTGTGTCAAGGCTCACCATAATGGCTCGCCATAATACGTGATGTGAATTTATGAGGTAAATTATCACTACCCTAAGTTTACAAATATCAATAGCTGAACTTGTATTGGAGAAGGCCTAAGTTTTCTAGATTGCACTATCTAAACATGCATCAGCAGCTAACCAATAAACCTGGCCTCTGGCGTCTCTAAAGTAAAGGATACTCACCCAATAGTAGCTAATAGAAGTGGATCTAACAAGGAAATAACAAGAAAGTCATGGAAATATGAAGAAAATATGCAATACTAAATCCTAAAATAGTAGAATAGTAGGAACAAAGATCCTTCCCACACTTTGTAAGCTCCCTTGAGAATGTGATGAAAACAGTCAATGACACAGATAAAGCTGCAAGTAAACACGAAACTACGGCGTGGACTGCTGATGTACTCAAAGATTGCCTAAGTGGAACTTCAGGGTACCGAGGAATCAGCAAAGGTAACACAAGCAAACCTGGAAGGTCCTGTTACGAGATCACAATGAAATGCAAACACTGGATTCTAAAACGCTACCGGACTCATAATAGGTACAGGGCGAGAGGCTTTTAAGGTCGGAGGCTGAGCAACACTATCCCAACAAAATCAAAAGAAAACCCCATCGCCAAAGGTGCCGATGAGCCCTAGTCTGCAGGTTCCCCGCGTCCGCCCAGGGCCTCTCCTCGGCGCCGCTCCGGAGTACCCGC